GATCATTCAGAGATCCTCACTGAACGTCTGGAGAGAGTTTGCTGCACTGAAAGTAAAGGGGCTGAATAATTTTGCACGCCCAATTTTTCAGTTTTTTATTTGTTAAAAAAGTTTGAAATACCCAAAATTTCATTCCACTTCATAATTGTGTCCCACTTGTTGTTGGTTCTTCACAAAAAATTACAGTTTTATATCTTTATGTTTGAAGCCTGCAATGTGGCAAAGGTCGAAAAGTTCAAGGGGGCTGAATACTTTCGCAAGGCACTGTAACTTATCATAAACCCTCTGAACTGGACCACTCCATGTTTATCAGTCGAAGAGGTCACACTATGTGCCTTTAACTCTATTAATTTATTTATACATAATGATACCTTGTGCAATAATCTTTAGAACATTAGATGCAATATTCTGTACAGTAGCTTTTAAATGTGCATATATGTGCAGAGTTTCCTTTTGTTTTAGGAGTTGCACAGCAAATCTTGTACTATCGGTGCAAGGACTAAGTTTTCTGATTCTGATTTCTGGTTTTAATGTTATGATCATAATAATTAAAAAAAATGTACATAGCATTTATCGAAACCAGAGCTTACAAAGACAGAATGTTACATACAGTGTGGTACATATGAATTTCACACATAAACCAACCTGCAGACACATATAAGTACACACATGCAGACAAATGTACCCACACTGAATAAGATAATAAACTTATTTTCAATAAAAATGCGTTTTCAGAAGCATTTAAAAAAAAGATGCTGATTTTGCGAGTTCGTCCAGCAGGTTGTTCCTGGATTGAAGCTCGGCCCCCTTTAGCTTTACACCTCAACATGGGAACAGCTTACAGTCCTGTGAGGACCTCAGACTGTGTGCAGGTTTAAAGGGACGCAGTAGCTCACAGATGTAGTCTTAAGTAATAAACTGGTAATCAGTGCAAAGACAGTAAAAAGAGTAATACGATCTCTTGTTGATTGTTGAATCGAAACAAAATCTGCCCAATTATCCTGTAGTGTGCTGCCAGCATTAGTTTTGTTGGAAAAGGGAGCACATGAGGATATTCTTTTGATATGCAGATTGTCAGGGCCACTAATAAGGTTTATTTACATCACTTTTAGTATTTAATTGAAGAAAGTTAGCAGCCATCTGTTTGTTGTCTTTAGGTTTTCAGGCTTTACCGTGTCGTGTATCATCAGCATAAAGATGGATGGAAATGCCTCCACGCCTACGAATACACAATTTACAGCACAGCTCATAAATCCTACATTTTGTTAACAGCTCAGTAGTTTAGATTATATGATGATTAGAAGAGTAAATTATTTCTGCACCACATTGGTTAGGTTTCCGTGTCTAGACCTGTGGAGACCTCTGGTGTCTTGTTCCTGTTTCCTGCTGCAGCCTCCTGCTTCAGGATCAGTCAACGTTTTGTTTTTTGGACATTTTCAGATGAAAGGCTGCATCCGAGTGCTGAAGGAGCAGCCGCCCAGCAGTGTGGAGGGATTACTCAACGCTCTCAGGTCTGACAGCCTCCACAAACACATCACAAATACTGTGATAGAAATGATCAACTGCAGTGTGCTGTAGTCTATTTAAACGGCTGAACTTTTCTGACCTGATATTATATTATTATTTTTGAGTTATTATTGAACTGCCCCCTCCATCCCTGCAGGTATACGACCAAACATCTGAACGATGAGGCTACCTCCAAGCAGATCAAAACCTTGTTGCAGCCAAATTAACTCCATGCTTCTTCAGCGGAACTGAAACTGGAACGATACTGGGAAGTATTTTGGTCCAAATTTCAAAAGAACTACTGAACAAACCTTTAGCTAATGTGTCTTTGTTTAACCTCAGTTATTGTTTTTTTTTTAAACTCAGATTTTTTGTTGTAAAATAAAAAGAGAAAGAAAAGAAAAAGAGCGAAACCTTTTAGTTGGTTGATCCAAGAGAAGATGGTGTTAAAACCAGCAGAGCTGCGTTCACGTCATGTCAGATTTACAACAAAAGGTGCGTTTGACTTCATGCTGAACTAATGTGATGCAGGCTGGACTTAAAACAAGGCGTGCTGGTTAGGAATTGTGTCCGACTTTTGCCGGCGCTGCAAAACGTCACCATGTCACATGACATTAAATCCTCACGGGAGCAAGACGGCTCATAGGCGCCCAGTCCGGCGGCTGCAGTTGCAATAAGCTCATGCAGGTAGAATGTGTCTGTTTTTATACCCCGCCCCTGCGAAGATTACAGACTTTTCCTTTGCTTCCAGAATGTGTCACTTAAAGAAAATATTGCAGTGAATTAACTGAAATTGAAAGTTCTGTTAGCGCCACCTAGAGACCCACATCTTAAAAATGTTTTCATATGTCTTCCGGTGTTTTGCCAAACTCTTCTAATTCCCAACTCGTCACAAATGAACGCTTGGTCAACACCCTTTGGCGTTGTTGTTGCACGTGTAGGTCTCCACGTTTAGGTTAGCAATAACACATATGCAACGTCCAGACTGACTTCAGAATAAAACTAGTGGTGAACATTGTTAAAGGTGAAGGCACTTGGTTAGGTTTAGGAAAACATCATAGTTCGGAACGTAAGTAACATAACTGAAAAATAATCAATGCTGACATTTTGTTTCCTAAAGAAGAAACAAAGACTGATCTCCTGGGTTGGTTTCTGACTCACTCATCCACACCAACCACTTCTTTACTTGGACTTTTCTGTTATTTATAAATGGCCTACTTTTAGCATTGACAATGACGCTAAATGGCTTCCCCCAGTGCGTTGAACGATGATGTGGTCGTTCCATAGCCGTTCAGAAGAGCCATAAACACACAAACTAGTTTGTTTCAAACATTCACGGCCTCAACCTCTTCCAGGAGTGGAGCCAAAAATCGTCTTCTGGAGACCATGAATGTCCAGACCACATATGATCTCTTTTTGGCCATACTTGAGGAGATTTGTATGGACAATCTGCGGTTCCTGACCGTCCGTGGGGCAAAATAAACGTCTTTAGCAACTGCAGCTGGGTCTGCTTGATTTAAATAGGCTAAACAAAATGACCCACAACTGGGCTGTGTAGACTTTGCGAAGGCTTGAGCATGTTTACCATTTATTATCAGGTCATCTGTACTTCTGATGTGACGAGAATGCAGCTTTGGCGGTTTTCATGCAGCACCGATCTGTTAGCTGCCTTAGGGTTAAAGTGTGTTGGTGGTTCAACAGATCATCACCTCAGCCCCTTTTCCACCAGATGAACTTTTCCCCATTTCAAGAACCCAGGAACCTTTTTACTGGAGGAACCTTATCCCGGTATTAATTCCTCAGCCGCAGTTCCTACCTCAGTAAAAAGTCTCTGTGGCTGAGGTTGTACTTTTCAGTTAAACTTTGTAAACTGCTGAAATTCACAGTTTTACAGGACTGAACATCAGTGATTGGTCAAAAGCAAGATCAGCGAGAATCAAAAAGGAAAACACAGGTTTATTACAATTCATAGTTTTCACGTGACGTCACATTCCAAGGAAAACGCTCCCTTGGAGGCCAAAAAAGACGTTAATTTCTGCTGCCCGCCAGGAAGCAAGTGACACGCTGTTACTTTGAGTTCGTTACTTTTGCGTAGCGTTAAAATTCTGGATGGTTGTTGTGCTTTCGGATGCACTAATCGACGAGGAGACAAGCCTGAGCTGTGTGAGGTGAGGGATTCCCTACAAGGTAGACGTAAACATTACCAAAGTCGAGCGCTGGCAGGGACCCGGCGGTTTTAACACTTGCAATTTGTGTCCATATCTTTTTCCGCTCTTCCAAATGAGTTTTCCAAACCTGTTTGACACCTGATGTTTGTTGCTGTTTGATCCATTTTAAAGGGCACTATTTTCTCAGCCAGCCTCTACTGTGAGTAATGTGTAAGCGAGAGCGAGGGTAATAGAAGGAGAAATAGTTAGAAAATATTGATGATATATTTATATTGCGGTGGGCTTTTACAAATAAATCAAGTATGGAAAACACCGGATGAGTGAGTGGTTCAAATTAGCAAAATTACAGACTTCCTGAATGTGTCACGCCTTGACAATTTTTTGTCTTAGTTGTAAATGTCTGTCTGGATCTTAGAGCCTCACGTGAACTGAATTTCACTCAATGCTCACGGCCCTAAAATCATGCACAGACAATAGAAGTTCCTGGTTTCTTGAAGGGTCATTTGGATTCTTTGGTGGAAAAAGGTTGAAATACTTAGTAGCCAGTTTATTGGGGTAAATTTAAACAGCTCATTCCTCCTCAGAAGATGAGCTGTTGGTGTCACTAACATCTGGTAAAATTAGCTTTTGGGACTCATTGACTGTAACTGCGTAGGAACCATAGAAAAGCTCAGGGAGAAGCTGCGAGCTGCTTTTTATTGTAGGTGGCAAATAGAACCAGCCTTACGTTTGACAAACCAACCAGTCAGTCCAAAGCAAAGTAAGTTTCCAGGTGCAACATCTTCATCACCGTGACTCACGGTTTTCCAAATGTTTTGCAAGACAGAAGACTTTGGACTGAGGACTGGTTGCTTTGGCAAATGCACATGTGGTTAACGAGGTGGGGAGGTTAACCACCAGGTTAACAGCACACAGCCACTTCACCGCATCTTTCTATGAGAAGCATCTTTGACGGTCTCCCACGCACTGGATAAGATAAACCCAGTTTTTATTTCTGTTTTTGCAGTTAAATCTACAAATTCACAGTATGATTTAATGAAGAGTAGGAATGATGTCATAACATTTTTTCATGCATGGGCCAGCAGTGTAAAACTGTCTGTATGATGTGGACAGCTAACATAGGAAGCACTGTAATAAACCGGCTACTGAGAGCAGTTTGGAACTAGCTAAGAGAAGGAGAACCACTGTGACGAACAAGATGCGGTACTGATACGAGGGAAACCTCAGACTGATGTGGAGTTAAGTTTTCTCAATGTTTGAACTGATCTGATCAGTGGGACTGCTGACTGGAAATCTTTACAAGCTTTTTATTTTTAGTTTGCTTTGTATGTTAATGCTGCAGTGTCAGGGATTGAATGGCATTAAATGTTTTAAATGATTTTTGTGTCGGCCAAATAAAGTTTATACATTTTTAAGAAAAATCTGATTCGACTGGGGAGTTTTTTTAATCTGGTAATCATTATATAATTGTTCTGTAATTGACCCTCTCAGCTGCTTCGGGAGGGTCTGAGTTTCTATGGGTCTGACTCACCCACAAGACGGGAACTACTCCCGTTTGGATGGTGAACTTCCTACTCTGCACTAATTTCCTGTGACATACCACAGGGATCCTAAGCTATTTATATGTTCTCTCTTTGGGCTATTTTTTTTTTTTTAGAAAAATCTGAATGACTGCTTTGACTGATGTTTCATTCTTGGAGTCAGCATCTGACTCAGTGGACCCTGCAAAACTCCGTCACATCTTGGTTGCGGTCCACATGTCCACAGGAAGCGTTTCAGAAGCTGTCTGTGCTTCGACAAACACAAAGCAATATAGTTTAGATTTGTTTAGCCAATTCTTTTATACCTGGTTATAAACAAACTAAAACAAATTTAAGTAACAGAAACAAACAAGACGAAACAGTGGTCTTGTGTGTACGTAAAGACGAAGTCAGTAACAATGAAAAGCATGTTTAAATTCACATTTTTACATCAATTGTATTTAAATACATACACAAGAGAATTCAACACAACAACATTGACCAGTGAAATGCCCTGTTCACACATCTGGTTAACAATCGTCGTCTCCAGCAGCCAGAACAAAACTGGAACAAGATGCAGCCTCATCCGGTGGACACTGGGGGTTAGGCTGGCTACACACAGCTGTATTGTCCCCAAGCAGCAACCTCAGGGCTGAAAAACTGCAGTAGTTCCTCTAATAGCCACTTGAGGCAGCCTTACAATGCCCCATGTTAAAATGCCCAGCTTTACAGCAGAAGTAAACATGTTTACAGCCTGGTACAGAATACAGTTTTGGTCTCTATAGCTAATATCCCCATATGACACAACTGAAGGGGGGTGAATTTTTGTTTAACTCACCTGTTTAAATTATATTAAGCTTAAAGTTATGCATAATTAAGGATGGGCAGCTTTGAGTGACAGCTGGGGACCCACCTAGCAGGCTTCATTCGGCCCGACTCAGCTCCACCTCTTTGCACATTTTTGGATTAGCCAGAGTCTGTTACTGCCAACACATTCTCATTCCCAACCCGTCACATATGGACGCTTGCTCAAGACTCCTTGCTGTTGCTTTTTAACGCCCTGGGTAAGCTTTAGGATAGTTTTTTGCATGTGTAAGGCTCCTTGCATTGTGAAACGGCAAATTTGATTAAGTTTAGGCACCAAAGCTACTGGGTAAGGTTCAGGAAAACATCATGTTTTGGGTTAAAATAACTACGTTACTTACTTAACTTACACAACCTACCTAAAAAAACAAAAGTTGACTGTTTCAAACATAAACAAACACCAGCCTCCTGGGTGAAAGTCCAGTTTCTGATGTACCCGTCCTCCCAAACCACCTCCTTACTTGGACTTTTCTGTTCCTACACCTGCTTTTAGTGATGCCACAGGGCTTCCCCCCAGTGCATTGAACGTTGACGATAAGGGGCTTCCCAGCGCGCTACAAATTTACCCCAAGGGGTCTTGACCATGCGTCCATATGTGACGACTTAATAGTGAGAACTGGTTGGCCAAGATGGTGATGGCCGGAGCCGCCCACGTAGGTGACATCACAGAGACCATGTCCATGTGGTGGGCAGTCTTTCTAAGATTCTCTGGGTCTCCCCTGTTCTTGCATTTCTTT